TGTAGAATTAGCCGTTTTTGAGTTATTTAAGTTATAAAAATTCAAACGGCCGCCATTTTGAAATTTACAATCGGAACAACTTTAAAATTTTTTCTATTATAGGTCTTGTGTATGTTAACATGTTTACCAAATTTCATAATCATCGGATAAAAAACTTCACAGTTAAAAATATTTTTGTATAAAAAACAAAATGGCGGATATCTGGGTTAATATGCATTTTCGGACATACCTTCCCATAAACTTTTTTCTTCCTTTTAGTATGGGGATTCATTTCCCAAAGTCCTGAAACGTTTTTTATGGACACCCTGTATATGTGTCCGTTAGCACGATAACTCAAGCAAAAATGATCCGATTTTGATGAAATTTGGTACAAACGTGTAAACCTACGTTTATTCGAACGAGTTCGCAATCCAGCATGATCGGACCATGGGAACGGGGGTTTACGGGGGGTTTTATGGGGTAAAAATAGGTTTTTCCTATTTTTTACCCAAAAAACATAAAATTTAGCAATTCTTTTTCAAACCATTTTGTAGAGCTTAAAAAAACAAATAATTTTGTGTAATGAAGCGTTATTATGCGCCTAATGGTTACGGAGAAAATTCCAAAAAATTGTAAATTTAAAATTCCAATGTTATTCTTATGGAGAATAAGTAAACTGTTGTAGTTTGCTTGTTTATGAACATATTTTGATCAAATTTGAAAAATATTTTTATTTCTTACTAACTATTAACATTTTACCAAAAAAGAACAGTTTTACCCTCCTTGATGCAGCAAACCTAAGTACTTGTTAAACTAATTCTATTTAAATAGGGAATAAATGTTATATTTTTAAGTATACATTTCAGTGTAAATCCAATCAGTCAAATGGAAATTCGCTTAGTCTGCAGGTTTGCTGCGGCAGGGGTATTTATCTTCTCCATAAGAATAACATGGGAATTTTCAATTTGCATTTTTTTTCCGTAACCATTAGGCATACAACAATGCTTAAATATACTAAATTATAAATTTTTTTAGTTCTACAAAATGGTTGTGAAATATATTCCAAAGTGTTATGTTATAAACCCCCGTTCCCATTGTCCGGTCAAAAAAACACTGTTTACCTTCCCCGTAGCAGCAAACCTAAGCACTCGCTTATTTATAGAAATATTTTAGTAAATATGTAATCAGACAAGTTGAAATTCGCTTTGTCTGCAGGTTTGCTGCGGTGGGGGTATTTTATATTATCAATGCCTGACTCCTTCGCAGAAGAGGCTTACATCGGCTTCTGACCAGGCGCCTTAGACACGCTAGTCTCGGCGCGCAGTGTCACATTTGGTGTTGACCCTACGCGGACAGTTGAAAACTCGGACAGTTGATATTTCAAAATTTTTTTTAATAATTTAAAAACTCGGACAAATTAAAGTTGATTTAACCAAATATTATTATTATTTATACCATACTCGGACAGTAGAAAACTCGGACACTTGATATTTCGATATTTTTTAAAATAATTTAATAATCTCGGACAAATGAAAACTCGGACAGTTGATTTATCTAATTATTATTAGTTATTAATCAAAACTCGGACAAATGAAAACTCGGGCAACTGATTTTTCAAATATTTTGTAATTTTTTACAAACTCGGACAGTTGAAAACTGACAAATGAACCTCACCCATTATTTTAACGTCTAGTTTAACAACTTTGTCTGATTAGCTCATTGATGAAGTCTATACACAGTAGGCCTACAGTACTGAAGTTCTATATTGTCAATTGTATTTACTGATACTATCGTAATTGTTTCCACTGTAATACACAGAACTGTTTCTTCACTTTGTATGTACGGTACTACTTTATTAAATAAACGTTGTATTTGACTCTATTAGGCATTTTTCACTTTTCCCGTAACAGTTATGATAGGTTTCAGCCACGTTTTAGCTATTGTTATATATAAAACAAAATATGTTCTGTAATCCGAACAATTCAATAATCCGAACTACTCCCGATCCCAGTTAATTCGGATTAAAGAGGTTCTACTGTACTTTTTGGGCACAACCGCCACTTAGCATACATCCCCAAAATGGGGGATTTTGGGGGAAACTCAAAAATTTCAAATGGTGCGACCAACAACGCAAACTAGAGGTCTCTATCTAAATCCAGTAAAAAATGGCAGCCAATTGAAATTCTCAGAAGTTAAATTTAACTTACAGCTTTTCAAATCTGGAGACCCCCTGTAAATTTTGTAACTGCTCAAAATAGGTAAACTAAACTCTACTCACCTTTTTGGCATGTTATGAAGTACTTTTTGAGCCTAACTGCTACTTGGTTTCCATACCCAAAATGGGGGATTTTGGGGGAAACTCAGTAAATTTAAATGTTAAGCCCCATCAAGTGACCCCTCATCTTGGAGGTCCTGATCAAATAAAACTAACAACGCAAACTAGAGGTCTCTATTTCAATCCAGTAAAAAATGGCAGTTCATTGAATTCTTTAGAAATCAGAACTAACTTGCAATTTTATATTCAATTGGCTGTCATATTTTACTGTGTTAAGATATAGACCTCTAGTTTGCATTGTTAATTTTCTTTTATCACAACCTGTAAAATGAGGGGTCACTCGATGGGGTTTAACAATTAAAATTTTTGAGTTTCCCCCTAAATCCTCCATTTTGGGTTTGGGAACCAAGTAGCAATTAAGCTCAAAAAGTACTTCATAACATGATAAGATAAGATAAGATCTTTATTTCCATTAGATATTCTTTTGAATACATTGGATATGTCAGGTTACAATATATAATCTATACAATAATAAATTGAACAAAGGGCTCACCCATCTTACACAAAATCATTGCAAGTCAATTTTTTTGTCAAATATTCATCAATTGAATAAAATGCATTTGCAAGTAAGAACCTGATTACAACAGTTTTAAATTTAATAATGTTCATGTCCCTAATAGCAAGGGGTAGCTTATTAAATAACCTTATGGCTAGTACAGATGGCTTTTTCATTGATTTACTTAATCTAACATAAGGCAATTGTAAGTCATGTCTTATTCTAGTATTGTAAGAGTGCACGTCATTATTATGCACCAAATCTGGTTGATCTTTAATGAATAGCAAGTTTTGAAGAATAAAGGCAGAATAAAGAGTTAAAATTTTTAAATGAACAAACCATGGTTTACAGTGAGTTTTATAATGAACTCCTGCAATGATCCGAACGGCACGTTTTTGTAGGATAAAAACATCTTTTGATGCTGAGGCACTGCCCCAGACAATCAAACCATAAGTAATCTTAGCATGAAATAAACCAAAGTAAGCTGTTCTAACTACATTTTGCGAGACGACACCACAGAGTCTTCTTAGAGCAAAAATGTCACAAGCCAATCTCATGCATAATTCCGATGAGTGATCCAACCAAGAAAGAGTAGGATCCAGCCGGACACCAAGGAACTTGGCTGAAATGCCCCCCTCCTCCTTGGTAAGATCCCTCAGGCCAAAAAACATAGTGGTGGTTTTTTCTCTATTCAAAATTAAATTGTTGGCATCCAGCCAGCCACTAACCTTGTTTAAATTTTCCTGGATGTCAACTTCAGCCAATTCTTTGATTTTGTTTCTAGCGATCAATGTAGTGTCGTCTGCGTACATGAAAATTTCAGATGACACATTAACTTCTAAATCATTAATTAATACTAAAAAGAGCAGGGGCCCCAATACGGAGCCCTGCGGCACGCCCTGTGTAACATTTAACATCTTTGAACATTTACCATTGGCAAAAACACATTGACTTCTATTCTCTAAATAACTTTAAAAAAATGACAACTCCCTGCCTCTAACATTATAAAAACTTAGCTTATCCAACAAGTAATTGTGGTTGACTCTGTCGAAAGCCTTGCTGAGGTCGCAAAATGCGGCCCCAGCAAGCTCTCTCGACTCAAAAGAGTCCAAAATTTCCTCAACCAGATCTGTCAAGGCTGTAATTGTTGAAACACCCTTCCTGTAGCCATACTGCCTTGTGCTTAGAATGCTACACACATGCCAGGTGTGTAGAGTTTAGTTTTCCTAGTGTGAGCCGTTACAAAATTTACAGGGGTTCTCCAGACTTGGAAAGCTGTAAGTTAAATTTAACTTCTAAGAATTTCAATTGGCTGCAATTTTTTACTGGATTTAGATAGAGACCTCTAGTTTTCGTTGTTGGTTTTCTTACCAGGACCTTCAAAATGACGGGTCACTCGATGGGTCTTACTACTTGAAATTGTTTAGTTTCCCCCAAAATCCCCCATTGTGGAAATGTACACAAGTGCCCAAAAAGTACTTCATAACATGCCATAAAGGTGTGCTGAGTTAATTGTTCTAGTATGGGCCGTTAAAAAATTTAACAAGGGGTCTCCAGACTTTTTACTAACCCTGTATATATATATATATTTATTATGTGTGTGTTTCTGTGAACACGATCACTTGAGTAATTTTCGTTCGATTTTAATGAAATTTGGTTTGAAGGTGTAAGGCGGGTTAAACTTGGATGATGGATGAGTTGGCGAACCAGCATGATTGGACCATGGGAACGGGGTTTTACAGTGGGTTTTATGGGGTAAAAATTGGGTTTTCTCATTATTGACCCTCAAAACTCAAATTTTCCCAATTTCTCTCTAGACCTTTTTAAAGAGCTTCAGATACACAAATAATTCAGTATATCAAAGTGTTTCTAGGGCCTAGGTCTTACCGTGCCACCTACGGTAATAGCTACTTCCCTATATAGGGAAATTCAATAAAAGAGTTTTTTGGAAAGTTTGTCCAACTGGACTACACCCCTTCTTCCCCTGGGCCTTTGACTAGTAAGTTGACTTATATTACACAAAAATTAGGGTATTTTTAAGAACTGCTGTATAACAATGATTCGGCTTTATCCGGTATAGTTGATCATCCAAAATGGGTCCAGTTCCTACTCAATTTAAACTGCATTGTATTTGGTTTTGAGCTAAGCCTAACAATTATAAGGTACATGAAATTTGTGTCTGTGCTGCAGGATTGTCTACAATAGCCTCACCAAGCAGTGTAAGTTCCACACAGACCAACCCTACTACCCCTCTGGTTTCCCCTACCACTGCCTCATCTACATCGACATTCTTCAGCCCTCCTCAAGAGTCCATCACCCAGCCGGAGCCAACAATATGTAAGTAACTAAACAGTTTGTTTCCTGGAAGAAAAAAAATATTTTTAGTTTTCTTGGAATTAGAATTGGGTTAAATGTTATGCGTGATATGTTCATTTGTACTTAAACTTAAGGGTAAAATTATTTCCTTTAATCTGTTTTGCGTATTGGGATGACCAAGCACAAGCATCAGTTGATTTTCTGTTTACGTTTGTTAACCAATGTTGCTAACTCTGTAAATCTATCTGTCTTATGAGGGGTCTGCAATGAAAACACGCCTTGCTGCTAGAAAGTCCAGTTTATTAAGGAGGGCATCTAAGCTAGATATAGAGCTTATTAAGCCAGAACGAATTCACACTTTAAAAATTAGCGGTTGCCCATCAGCTTTGCCCGACATACTTTTAAGTTTATTTATGAATCGGCTGAAGTTGTGACTTCGTTGCGGGCTAATATGACCTTTTGCATTAATTTTCTGTATAGTAGTGTATAGTGTGTAGTAGTTATTGATTAAACTCCATTATTAGTCTAATCACCTAAGCTAATTAAACATATGGGACTGCTAATGTCAAACTAAGGGAGAACTTTTTCATTTGAAAATCTAACTGCCTTTCTATCAAGAGCTTCAAGCTACTCTCTCTAGAACAAAATCACAATGTTTTTACCAAAATACTATTCCCGTTCTATTTCCTTTCACTTAAAATACCCTTAAACCAAATTCACCAATAGTACAGTTTAGTTAAATAGCCTAACTTTATTGAACATTGTTAGAAAGGCTATCTTAAAGTAGGATTAAGTAACATAAAAACCCCATGCTTTGGCTAAATATTCTCTGATATATTTACTAGGTGGCGTTCGCAGAGGCATCTACAAAATTGAGCGGAGTCATAAAGGGTTCATATTATATTGTTTTTGTCATACTGCAGTAAAAACAGTCGTTTTTAATGCATGCGTTGCGGGTCTAAAGTAGCATTTCACTCTTTAGGGAGTAAAAATCGTTTTTAGCCTCTATGGAGTAAAAATCAGCTGTTGTCAACTCAGTTGTAAATTTCTATTGTAAGCGATTGCATATATCGAAAATATGTATCGATTCATGATTTGTAATCATTTTAACCTACAGTCAACAGTCTCTTCCCATAGCATTTTAGCATTGCAGTTGCAGATACATTAATCCATTCCCACACTCAACACTGCTCACCTTTACTACTTCCTTCATCACCCCCTACGTCGAGGACCTGTTTCCCTCTTTTCTCATAGCATTTTAGGATTGCAGATACATTAATGTAATAGCCACAGACAGTTCCCACACTCTGCACTACAAGCCTTACTACTTCCTTCACCATTTACTGTGTCATAGACCTGTTTCCTTCCCTTCTCATAGCATTTAAGTATTAGATACATTTATCTAACTGCCCCAACGGTTCCCTCACTCTGCACTGCAAGCCTTTACTACTTCCTTCACCACTTCCTACTTCCTGGGGCCTGTTTCCTTCCCTTCTCATACCATTTTAGAATTGAAGATGCATTAATCTAACTGCCACAGACGGTTCTCACACTATGCTTATACTTTACTACTTCCTAAGCCACTTCCTACATCGTGGACCTGTTTTCATCAATTTCCATAGCATTTTAGTATTTTAGATACGTTAATTTAATTGCCACAAACATTCCCCACACTCCACACATATATCAGCCTTTACTACTTCTTTCACCATTTTCTATGTTGTGAGCATGCTTCCATCCCTTCTCATAGCATTTCAGCATTGCAGATACATTAATCTAACTGCTACAAACAGTTTCCAGTTCCCACACTCCACACTGCTCACCTTACTACTTCCTTCACCTCTTCTTACGTCGTGGACCTGTTTCCCTCTCTTCCCATAGAATTTTAAGATTGTAAATACCTTAATCTGATCGTCATAAACAGTTCCCACACTCCGGACAGCTCGCCTTGACTACTTCCTTCAGCACTTCCTACATCTCGGACCTGTTTCCCTCCCTTCCCATAGCATTTTAGGATTGCAGATCCCTTAATCTAATCGTCATAAACAGTTCCCACACTCCAGACTGCTCGCATTTACTACTTCCTTCAACACTGTGACAGCACTAAAAAATCTGTTTTCTGGACGTATGGCCATGGTTGGTATGTCCTAGGCGTGCGCTTGGTTGATCACTGACAGGACAGGTGTGTGTGCTAGTTCTTGCGAGTGTGTGTTGTGTGTGTGCGTGTGTTTGTATTCACCAAATAGTGGCATCTTTCACAGGCACACGGCCGTACTGTGGCACCTTCAAAAATTGTGGCACCTTTTTCAGGGTGCCACAGCTAATTCGATAATTTTTGAGGTTTTCCAGCATTATTACGTCGTTTAAACATCACATGCCACAATTGAGTATTTTTGAACTTGTTGATGTGAGTTTAAGTTGCGCAGGTACACGCCGAATTATGGAACACGAAACCATACAGGTAGCTAGCGCGCCTCGCGCCGTCCGCCGGAACTATAACTTCCCTAATGCTACGTTGCCAATTCTCGCGCCAGGATACACTCTAAATAGTGGCTCCATGCCGCAATTCAATATATATCAACAGTGTGTGGACAGGATGCCACTTTATGGAGTTGTAGCGCTTGATCAGTGTGTAGAACAGTGCAAAAAGCAACTAATAAACTAATAATACTGTTCTTCCTGTGGCAGGTCATATATCAATAGCCTATTTGCAAAACAAAGCCTAAATAAAAAATAGCCAACATATTAAAGCCTAACTATTTAATCAGTTACTAGCCTAGGCCTAGTTAGGCTCAACTAACTAATTTCTACTGTAAATTATGAATAAATAGTATAAACCTTCTGAAATATATTACATTAGTAGGAAAAATGGATAAAAGGAATGGTATTTGTTTAATAAAATTTTATTCTGATCCTCATAACATGTTAAAAATCTGCATTCAAATCATACAACCAAATCGGTGGGTAAAAGCGATCGTTAACGGCAAACAAAAAACCGTGATAAAAACCTAAATAATGATAATTCATATTTTTCTGCCGAAATCGTAAATAATGGTAATTTAGAAACATAACCATAAAACATTGCAGACGGAAAGTTAGATTCAAATCAAAAAGGTGGATGACGTCAGAACTCGAGACACCAAAGAGAACTAAAATAAAGAGGTTAGATCAAAGATCGGGAATAGTTTTCAATCATTTTGCAACGAAACTAAAAAAAAGCTGAGAGAAAGCTACATGCAGACAATATATTTGGACTAAACCACGTAAATTTCTAAGCCAATAGGATTACGAGTTGACATTCAAGTCGGTGTAGGTGAACAATTTCTGAAAATTATCTCGTTTTTAACCAAAAAAAAAGTAAGTAGAAGCTAGCCATCTTGAATCTGAGGCAATGAAGAAAAGAACTAACGTAACGTACTTCTCTTTCTTCTTGGGATAACGAGTCAAAGGAAGTGGCCATAAAATTATGTTCTCAATTTTAAGAAATTAACAAACTGTTTTTAAACTTTGAAAATGGCATAAATTCTATTAATAAATCAACTACAAGCAAAATAGGCCTACAATTATTAATTATAGCCTACATTAAAATTAGCGAAGAAGACTGTAAGTAAACTATTTTGAAGATCTGCACGTTGACCAAATTCGCAAGTACATACCAACTTTTACAAATTGAACTAATATAAAAACTTTTGATAACAATCTATTAACCAAAGACTCCACTATAAACTCTATGATACCTTTCCCATATAGTTTAAGTCAGGTGTAGGTTTAACCTCAATTATCCCATCCATAATGTAGATTAATTAATTTTATCATAAACTAGGCTAACTCTATTACCTATTGTATTTAAATTATACCTTGGGCTATGTAAAATTAACTTATTGTAATTGATTCTAAAACAGTAAATAACTCTTTCCGTAATTGATGTTGTAAGTTATCATTTTCACACAGCTCCACCATGCACCCTAATATTTAGATAAATAAAAAACGACCCTGAGATTAAGACAAAATAGCCTAATTAGATTTGCGTATTTCAACCAAATTTTCTTTCAAAATTAATTTAGGCTAAAAGGAAGAGAATTGCAACATTCCACGTACTATAAATCAATTTAAGTACCATAAATAATATACTTTTGATCCGAGTGGTGAACAATGTTGAACATTAAATAATTTGTGTAGTAAATAATAATTTAAATTGTTTTATGCCACCATTAAAAAAATTATTTTTGTTTACAAACATAAATTGGTAACGTAGTTACTTTGTATCAATTGAATTTTTACATTGAAACAATAACAATGTTTTAGGTTAGAACACTATATAAGTTGTCCTATGCTGCATTTTTTATCTTACAAACTATTTTGTGCTGATATCTTTTTTATTAACATTCTAGTCATGTTGACAAAATATTTTACAATTACATTTCTGAATCACTCAGTAAAGGTAAATTTTGATGCAACATTGCTGAAAGTTATGTTTAGCTTATCACTCTCAGAGTATTGAATACAATGATTACAATGAATTTATTAGGCTAAATGTCATGCACTGTGTTTTCTCATTATTGAGCACTAATTTATTGTCAACAAACCAATTTGAGGCTGACTCAAAAATCTTCTTAACAGACAGCTCTGCTTGTTCACGGGTCGCTTTACATGATATAAGGGAAGTATCATCTGCATACAACATGCAATTACCTTCAAGTCTGGTATAGAGGTCATTGATTGATACTAAAAATAACAGAGGTCCCATAATGGAACCTTGCGGAACCCCGTGTCTAACAGCTAATGGTTTAGATGTAATACCATTCCAACTTACAACCTGTTGGCGATCACTGAGGTAGGATTTGACCAATCTCAGAGCACTGCCTTCTAGGCCATATTTTCCCAATTTCAGGAGCAAAATTTCATGTGACACGCAATCAAAAGCGCAAGAGAGGTCACAAAGTATTACGGAGGTAGATTTCTTAGACTCAAAAGCATCAACAATTAATTGTACAATAGAATCAACAGCCAATATAGTGGATTTGGCTTTCCTGAAGCCAAATTGACCAGGCACCAGAAGGCTGTGTGCTTCAAGGTGGTCGTACAATTGAGCAAACATAATAGCTTCAAACAGTTTAGAAAATACAGGAATCAACGATATTGGTCGATAACTTGCAACATTGTCACGGGACCCTTTTTTGTAGACAGGCACAGTTCTAGAGACTTTTAATGGAGCAGGAAAAATACCTACTAAAAAGCATACATTAACCAAATGGGCTAGTATAGGTGCCAGTGCCCACACAATGTGTTTCAAAAGATTTGGTGTCATGCCATACACATCTTTACTGTTAGAGAGTTTAAAGCCCATAACAGCATGAATAATGTCTTGGACCGATACAATTCAAAAGTAGGTGCACCATCAGGTATGCTTGACAGGATCACAGGAGAGGATTGCGTTATATTTGGAATGGTTGACAAGATGGACTCAACAGACTCAACAAAGTACGAATTGAATTCATCAGCAGATGCAAAAGACGGATCAAGAATATCAGACTTTGTTTGAGGTCTATTTTGATTTATTAAATTCCAGGCCGCCTTACAGGGATTGGAAGCCCCTGTTATGTATGCGGCATTTGAGTTGATCTTTGCATCCCTCACATTCTTACGGTATTGTGTTCTAAGCAGCTTAAGCAAGTTAGACAGATCAGGTCTTACACTAACTAAATCATTAACTAAAGTTATCATGCTCTTTAGCCTAGAGAGTTCAGGGGTATACCAGTCCTTAACAACAGGCAAACCATTATTTTTAGAAACCCCTGACTTGCCAACATGCACCTTTTTACATTTTATTGGGAAAAAATGATCAAAGGCCATGTTGAAGTTGACATGAAAAAACATGAAAGCATCATTTGCCGTTGTAATGTTATATTTTTAAGTAGACATTTCAGTGTAAATCCAATCAGTCAAATGGAAATTCGCTTAGTCTGCAGGTTTGCTGCAGCGGGGGTTTTTTAAGACTTATAACGACCTCCTTCCAGTGACATATTTTACGTCTAGCTTGACAATGACACCATAGATGTCAGAACCGGTCGCCTTATAGATGACTTCAGGATTACTTGATTTTTCAAAGAACCTTTTGCCAAATAACCTAATTTAATCTCTTGCATATTATGAAAGGAGAAAGCTTCAAATTTGCTTCAACATATTTATTCACAATCTTGACGTTGTGTTGTAGTGAGTTCAAGTGAGCAGAGTCTTCACAGTGGGTCAGTTAACGGATTCAACGCAGCAGTGACTCAGTCCCCCAGCAGCAGTGCACAGACAACGCAGTTCACCGCACAGGCAACATGGACTGGCTCCAACACACTCACCTACACTCAGAGTATGCAGCCTCCTCTTCACAACACTTACTGTGAGCTTCTTCTTCTGCTCACCCTTCTCTCTCTCTCTCTCTCTCCCCTTCTGGCTGGTTACACACTGCTTGTGTCACATATCTGAAACATCATCTGTATATCAGACATGTGTCATGCAAGATGGGATGGTCAGTAGGAGAGACATGTCATCAGGTCGCACATGCGCTCGTCCCCCGAGCAACTAGGTTATTCGGCCGTATACAAAGCACGTTTTAAGTAGTTAATTGATCATAGTGTTTCATTCTGAAATATTCTTGAAACATGATATGTTATTGTATATATCTGCTTGTTTTCATTAGGGAATGGGTCAGTCTTATTTAAAACCGGGTACCCTTGTTTTTAGCAAATTTATCATCTGAAAGGCATTAATTTTAGTTCTGTAACTTAATTTCAAATTTGAATTTTGGAAGGTTTTTCTTGTTGCTTTGTTTATGGTTGTATGGGGTATGCAAATATAATCTTTTCTATTGTTTTCTTTAATTGATCTTTGTGTTTCAAATTTCTTTTTTCAATGATATAATCAAATCAGGCATTTATCAAATTAAATAAACCTACGTTTATTTGAACGATTTCGCGAACCAACATGATCGGGCTATGGGAAATTTCTATTGTTTTCTTTAATTGATCTTTGTGTTTCAAATTTCTTCTTTCAATGATATAATCAAATCAGGCATTTATAAAATTAAATAAACCTACGTTTATTTAAACAATTTCGCGAACCAACATGATCGGGCTATGGGAACGGGGGTTTATGGGGGGTTTTATGGGGTAAAAATTGGTAATTCCCATTTTTGACTAAAAAACATAAAATTTCACAATTTTTTTCCAGACCATTTTGTAGAGCTTTAGAAAAGAAATAATTTTGTATATTGAAGTGTTGTTGTATGCCTGACAATTACGGACATAATAAACAAATTTTAAATAAAAAATTCCAATGTTATTGTTATGGAGAATAAATTAACTGTTGTAGTTTGCTTGTTTATGGATATATTTTAATCAAATTCGTCAATTTTGTTTATTTAATACTAAGCTATCAACATTTCAATAAAAAACAAACCTACCTTCCCTGTAGCAGCAAACCTAGGTACTCGTTAAAATTAATGTTAATAAAAATAGGGGAAAAATATAGGTGTGGGCGAGTAGTGATTTTTCAATTCGAGTCGAGTCCAGTCGAGTATTTGAGTAAAAACTCGAGTATCGAGTCGAGTCGAGTAGTTGCGCGTTAAGTAGGCCTAGACCCAGGGTTTAAGCTGCAGTAGTATTTTTAGCATCTTGCTATTCACAACTTAAAAATGCTAAGTTTACATTGTTTTGCAGGCTAGGCCTATGGCAAATTTTCTACAAATAAAATTGAAAGATGTAATGTTCAAACAAATGTAATATAAGCCTACTAGAATTTTTTCTTTTAAATGCTTAAGTTACTGAATAATATTTTTTCTACAGTTAACTTAGTTTTTGTCTTTGCAGAGAGTTTGCAGCATTTTGCTGAAACAAATTTCATCCTAGCCTAAACCCTGCCTAGGCCTAAATAGGTAGTTTAAGTACTTAAAATACCAACTTTTCTAAGTTATATGGTTACTAATTATTAGTACCTCCTACCTTTACCTTTACCTTTACCTTTACTGATTCTTCATCGTTGCCCAGCCATAGCTGGATAGATTGCGTTAAATGAAAAAATTAAAACTTTAAAACTCTGTCTATATACACTATATACAAGGCGGTGGATCATGATGTCCAAACTGAGTCAGGGGTTTCAAAAAATTCCCTGATGGAGTAAAGGGGCCTAGTCTTCAACTCCTTAGACATGTGCGCTACGAACGCTTTCACTGGCAGGCCTCTGATCTCAACACTGAGGCTATTATACAGCTTTATGGTCATAGTGGGGAAACTGTTTGCAGTCTTACTGAGCCGATGGGATGGAAGGTCAAGTTGGCCATGGTTACGAGTATTGCAACTATGAAGGTCACCCCTTGAGCTAAAATCATTTAAGTTTTTCTTTATGTGTACAACACTGTTTAAGACGTACTGGCTGAACAATGTCATAACTCCCAGACGCATGAAAAGAGGTCTACAGTGGGCGTCAGCTTTGCTAGAAGTTAGAATTCTGATTGCCTTCTTCTGGAGTTTGAAGGATCTCCTAGAACCAGGTGCATGACCCCACAACTGCAAACCGTAGTTCAGATGACTATGGAATAGGCCATAATACACTGTCAGTAAATACTACTCAGATATCTCCAGCTTGATTTTGCGCAGCAGAAAGATTGTTTTGGATAGCTTGTCGTTAAGGTGGGATATATGGTCTTCCCATGAGAGCTGGCTATCCATCCAGAAACCTAACAATTAGACACACTGTGAGTCTTCGATGGGAACTATGTTTCTTTTTAGGGTACAGATTAGGTTTTGGGTCTTAGAACCATTCAACTTAAGCTTATTCTGCACAAACCAATCCTTGGTAGTTGCCATGAGAGTCTCGGAGTCACTTTGGAGCAGGTCCAGTCGAGAATTTCTGGATATCAGGGTCGTGTCATCAGCGTAGAGGAGGGACTTCCCATCGCATCTCAGGTCATTGATGTAGATGACAAAAAGCAGAGGGCCTAGGACAGAGCCCTGTGGGACGCCATGCTCAATATACAGTTCTCTTGAGAAGGCACCTTTAACAGAGACCGTTTGACGTCGATTCTCAAAAATCAAAAATCAAAAATTTGGCCTAGACTAAACTTGTTGGCTGCAGCATTAAATTATTGAGGCCTACGATTACACATCACTTGTTCTTGTGTGTTTTATTTTTTCTTGCCTTTAATTCCTCCTCACTAACATGATAATCATCCTAACTAACTAACTTAATAAGGTAACTTTAAGAATAATTTCAATTCAAATAAGAAACAGAATTTTTAAAAATAAATTTATTTATAAAACAGAAAACTAATATCAAACTACATATTGTATCACAAGTTAAAAACATCAATATGCAATTAGGTATTTAAAAATAATCATTTAGATAAGCACTTCATCTGTCTTAAGTTTGAAGGTTATGGGTACTAGGGCTATCCTCTTCACTCAGTACATTTATAAAAATGATTAAGTCACTCGTCTCTGACAGACTGAAAATATCAAACAAAAACATAGTAGGCCTATTATATCGAAATAAAATCCCACATTAAACACTTATTTAAAATAAAACACATTTCACTGTAGCCCGGTATAGCCTAAGTTATTTGGCCTTTCTTTATAAACTCACATTTTCTGGGTTAAGTTACAATTCAAACTGTCGTTGTCATGTTTCTGCCACCAGATTGAAAATTGCACAATCAAAATCACAAACAGAATATGTTTATTTTACTTTCTACTAAACTTCCACTAACAAAATCAATTTTATTTTAAGTTACAAATTCACTTCAACAAAGTAAAAATATTCAAAACTGACATTGACATAACTTCAATCACTCCAATCCATTGTTTTGTTGTTACGCCAGCTGTCACCATATCTGCTCTCTCTCTCTCTCACTCTCTCTTAGTCATTCTGCTCATTCTGCTTCTGCTTTGTTTTCCCATCAAACAGCTGTTTTGCAGGGCTGACGTTGCCATATTTAACATTACACCATTATGGTGAATGTCGGTAAAATTATCATAAAATTTCTATAGCTTTTATTTCGTAAAAAAAATTAATAGTTTGACTAATTTCATGTTTATGTAAACTGATTAGAAAATAAATTATACTTATAGTTTGTTTACGCCAATACCACAGTTGTAAAAGTACAACAATTATCGTCCATCTGGCAACACTGAGTTTAAAGTGGAACTGATCTTTTCTTTCTGCCAAGACCCAATGAGATTGCGTCATTCAGATGCATCGATGTTCCTTGCAGTAACTTATCGGTTTGTAAAACTAAACACCAATACCGATTAATGTGAAAAAATATTATGCTACAACAGGTTATTTTTATTTGTTGTATTTCTATATTTTGGTATAAAATATTTTTATGGCAGTTCAAACTAAATCTGATGCTGTACTTTATAATATCTTCAAGAATCGTCTGCCATTGTAATACTAGTCACGGGACTCCCTTGTTGACTATCGACTATTGCAATTCGATAGATTCATTCAATGCTTTATTTCAACTTACTGTATCGTTATCGAGACGTATTGTTGACTGTTGTAGGAAAGTGAAAGTCTGTTAGTAGTCCTCTTGCTAGCTCTGCCGAATGACGATGGGTGTTTGTTGAACATTTGGTTTACGCTAATCTAACCTATATGAGGTTAGTTAGTTGTTTTTTGTAGGAATGGGTATTAAATAAGGCATAAACACAAAACAAAATATAATTTATTAAATATGGGTGTAGAAAATCGTGAAGTGGCATTATTTATAACTACTCGACTCGAATTTTCTAGTAGTAATTACTACTTGACTCGAGGTCGAGTATTTGAAAAAACTCGAGTAATTACTCGAAGGTCGGGTACTCGCCCACCCCTAGAAAAATATAACTATTTTCAGGGAATATTTTTGTAGAAATCCAGCCAGGTAAATGGAAATTTGCTTAGTCTGCAGGTTTTCTGTGGTGGGGGTATTTTTTTCAAGCGCAATTAACTACAATTATTACACACTACATTGTAGCAGGAGAAATGGTTCAAACATGTAGAAGACATAAGACGTGCAAAAGACAAGCATTTTTCTTTCAATTTTATCAGACACAACACAATGTCTGCCATACCAGTGTGTAACCCGCCTCTCCCTCTTTTTCTCTCTTTCTGACTCTCTTTAACTCACTTTTAATGTTTCCTGCCTACTGGTAGCACATATTCAAGACAGGTTTTATGGGTTAATGTTTACGTTGTTTAACGTTGAAATGTTAGCCTTTATATACGTTTTTAGTCGCTATGTTTATTTTCTTAGACAGCCTTCTCACTAGGTCACAGCTACAGCGTCGCACCAACACCCGTCAGCTACTAGATCTGTAAAATTGTATTGATTCAAATGGAGCCCCTCCCACTATTGGGTCGCAGCTACCCACCTCGGTGGCAGCTTATACTTACTTGAAATACCTGTTGTACACTTACCGTGGTCAACTGAGTTGATCACGGTTTCAACAAAAGATACAGCTGCTCTGACAACAGATCTCCCCCTTCGGAAACCATGTTGATTTTCATCCAGCATTTTAAAACTTTCAAAATATTCATAAAATTGTAGATAAACAGCTTTTTCATATATTTTAGAAATGGACGGAAGTATAGATAACGGTCGATAATTTGATAAATTTGATGTGTCGTTCTTTTTATGTAATGGAATTAATTTTGCTTGCTTTAATTTTTCTGGGAATATTCCTGATACAAATGAAGAATTTATAATGTCACATAATTTTATTAATGTTATTTTTAACACCCTTAATCACTGTGACTGGGATTTCGTCATGGCCACAAGAATACTTGTTCTTAACGGATTTATGATTACTTCCACCTCCCTCTCACATATTGGTTTAAGTTCAAATTTTTGCTTAATGTACAGGTCATCGCTAAAACTATATATGGGTACATCACAATTCACAGTATTGTTATTACTAGTCAGATCGGTTACAATATTACTGAAATGCTCATTTAACATGTTTGCAATTATATTTGGATCAGACACAATGCCAGAATCTTGCTTTAAAGTTATATTTTGTGATTGTCTCTCATTTTGTCCAACTTCAGAGTTAATTATAGACCTAAGTGTTCTTTGAATATTAGTGGAATTTTCAATCTTTTTCTGAAAATAATTATGTTTTGCTTGATTGATTTCAGTTTTATATAATTTTTTTCCTTTGTCTAGATAAGATTTAAAACCCCTAATCTTTTTACTCTGATACTCTTTAGTTGTTTCTATTATCTGCTTTTGTTTATCCTTCAATTCTTTAGATATCCAGGTACATTTCTTCTTTCTTTTTATATCCAGTAATTTAGGAAAAGCCTGATCAAAATAGAAGGCAAATAATTTGTGTAATACATCATATTTATTTTCAACCTTAGCATAGTACACGTCAGCCCATGTTTCCTCGGAAAGTAGCTTTGAGAAAAGATTTATATTTTTTATGATGAGAATTTACATATTTCTTGTTTTATTGGTTCTTAGGTACTATATAGTTTTTTTTTAGTTATAACAAAGAACAAAGATTTATGTTAAACTAGAGTTCGTCCAGTGGTCGAAAACTCAACCAAAAATATGTAATGTACAGACTTCTCCATTTTTACCCCATGCTGTAAATAAAACATGTGATTGGAGTTTGTTACATTTGTTTTGATTTTCTGTTTATATTTCGTTGTTATTTTGTCACCAGCATGGCAACCCATAAGGTCCATGTTAATATTTTTAAATTTTAAATTCATTTTTTGTGCTAATTTTTGGGCCTATTGTAATTTATAAAGGAATTCTGCACATCTACAGAAAAATATCTTTCCAACAGTGTGCGTAGATTTTCCCTGCGATGCACACGAGCTGAGAAAAAAGGTATTAAAGAAACATGCTTGCCTATTAATATATAGATAGATACTGACACCATTCTCTTCATAATGTTCAATATGAATAAAGTAATTTTGGTTGATTGATTGGCTGGGAGATAGTGTCTTCAAAATTTTGTTTATACTATTTTAGAATTAAATTTAGGATTTTGTTTTATTTTTTGTTATATAACCAGGGGACAAGCCGTTGTTTATGGGTAGATCGTTTTATTAGACCACTTAATAAATGAGGTTTTAAATAAAGGTAATAAAGACGGAAAGTAAATAAAAGAAACGTCTTATAACACTTAAAACATATATTTACGCTTATACTGTTACTCACAAGACGGTAAATATACAAAAAAGATGGTAAGTGGTGATCGATTTCGATTGGACACTCCAATCATCATCAGACCCAATAGGTGTAATAAAGAGGAAACATATTTTAAACAAAAATACACCCCTAGAGGCACCGGACGGAACTAACATTAAAATTGTCTTAAAGGATCAAAAATCTACTAAAGGAGTGTGTTTAAACTCTATATCAGATTTGTTTAACGAATAATAAAATGTACATTTCATATGTTGTGGTAGAGAACATTGTAAATATGGTAGGCTATATAAATGATGTTACATTGTCGTAGGGGGTCATGGAGTGAGTTCAGAAGCATCACTAAGTGGTTTGCTGTCCACACAACCTGCACCTGAGTACTGGTGCTCCGTCGCCTACTTTGAACTGGACACTCAAGTTGGTGAAACCTTCAAAGTGTCCTCTTCCTGTCCCAACGTCACCATCGATGGTTACGTGGATCCTTCCGGAGGAAACCGGTTCTGCCTCGGTGCTCTAAGCAATGTCCACCGCACTGAGCAAAGTGAAAGAGCTAGGTATTCACTCATCTGAACAACATATTTTTATTGAGTTTATTCATGTATCGTCAGGTTTTAAGTTAATTAACCACATAGTCAGGTGTTAACACTTTTATTTTTAGAATGAGCAGTGTTGTGACTTTTTTAATGAGAATTTAAATTGGCAATGTTTATAAATTTATTTAATTAGTGTCCCAAAAAGATAGTTCATTGTAAAACATTAACATATTATTTACTCGAAGGACCAGGTGCCAAATGTACCAATATGAATATTTAAATAGGCCAGTGGCTAGTTAATGTTTAACACTAGTAGAAAATTATTTACGCACTAACCATTAGTTTGAAGTGGTATCACAAATATTCCACCATTGGACGCGAGGGGCTGGACACGCCATGGCCCGAGGACGCTGTCAATGCAGCTCGTGGAGAGATATCTATATAATTAATACGCTACATAAAACTTTGTCGGTTGAACTCCTCCGCCATTTCTTAACCGATTTTATCCATTGACGTATCATCGGAAAGAGCGTGTCGCGTAGATTTGCAAACTGGCCTTACATTTTTGAAAAAGTCCCTCGGGCTCTGCCCCAGTGGCTGTTAAAGTTCCCATGTTATCCTTATTAAGAACATAATTGTTTACATTTTGATCAGCTGTATAATTTAATTGCTGTTATTTATTATGCGTATTGTGTACATTTACTGATTTTGTGGAAATTAAATATTTACTACTTTAATTTCCATTCGTACATACAATGTAAAAAATCGAGAAAGCCTGGGCAATTTGATATATTAAATAAGAATAATGAATTTACAGGGTACTTATTTCTTGAGCAATCATTGAAAGAACCGATTTGTTGTCATAGAACACCACCAAGTAGAAGAAATAAAGATTTTTAAAAAGAATGTTTTATCGTTATCAACATAAATGAAGAACACCTACAATATTAAGATTCCCACAAACAATGAACAAGGATGTTAGGCGAAGTGCTATTATTTTGTAGGAAACACGGACTTAACTTTATGATGATTGAGGCCCTCTAAGCCCTTCTAAGGCTGAATTAAACTGGTACGGCAAGGACATTAAATATATGTTTTCATGAAAGTCAAGTGATTTAAAAATAATATGACTACATCCAAGAAACCAATAAAACTTTCATTGAAGGATTCGCATTATTCACTTTATTATTCACATTTAAGGGAAACAAAAAACCATCTGAACAACATTAGACCTTTCAATTCTGCATTTTTTTCAGGTAAATATAACTTAAGTTATAAAAGTAACTAGCCAAATTAATGCCAATTGAAGCAAATAAAATTGTGACAGAGAGGTTATGCAGAAAATCCGGCAGTTCTTAAGTAATGTAAACAAAATGTTATCGCTATAAAAAATGACTGAAATTTGTAAACGTGCTGGCGACAATGACAATGACAATGATAGTACCATGCAGACTTCATTATCATTGACGAAGTTCAACATGGACAACCTAATGCGGCTATAAGTGGGAAACATTTGTAGAATACACTAAAAAACCAGATAAGCTTTTGAAAAATGATAAAATATTTACAAGAAATGTTGATTGTATGAAACTGTTAAGTACGTAATCTATGAGTTGAGTCTTTTAAACTCATCGGAAATTATGAATTTAAATCGTTTTTTTTATAAGTTATTGTTTTTAAATAACTACATTACTTTTTTGCAATTGCTCGATTTCGAGCAACATTTTCACTAGTTGGAAAATTAATCATTGAGGGATCTTGATGTCTTGAGTTTCGATACTGCACAAAATTCTGATGTTTATGAACGCTCTAAACCATAGTCTTTGAATTAAACACGGTTGCCCAGCCAAGTCAATGCACACACATTGAGAACACTGAGAAAAAGGGATTAATACACAAAGTTACAATTAAATGGGTTAATTTACACAGGTTCATAAAGCCAACTAGGTGGCACCAATTAAAGTAATGAAAAGAGTTACATTGGAGCCACAAACGACAAGAGAAATAACTCGCGATGGAACGCGATTAGTGCAAAGAGAGTTCTTCTTCACTGAGGCAAAATCGGTAGCGTCCCTATTGCAACCACGAGAACGGAAAATTACTGCCTCGACCAATAGGAGAGCAGGAATCCTTTCATGGGTTGAGTCTCCACCTCTCTAACTCGCCCTTAGCAGTAAATTTGAAATTACAAAACATATTTGTGCTTAAAACTAAATACTTGTGTCTTATCACAATTAAAAACAAAATATGTTTTTGTTATGTGTTTGTTTACTTGAGTTGTTGTGTCACAGGTTACACATAGGCAAGGGTGTGCAGCTGGACCTGAGAGGAGAGGGGGACGTGTGGCTCAGATGTCTGAGTGATCACTCTGTGTTTGTTCAATCTTACTACCTAGACAGAGAGGCAGGTCGAGCTCCTGGGGATGCTGTCCACAAGATATACCCTAGTGCTTACATCAAGGTCTGTGCTGTCTATAACTAACAATAGTTAACACATTAATATTCTTGGTAAGTAACTAATTTATCCAGGAAGGCTGTATCTTTTAAAGGATTTTGTCAAACTCTGTTAATTTATATGAACATTGCTGCTGTTAAAGCTAGGGGTCTGCTGGTACCCAACATTATCAGGTTAGGCTGGGCCTACACATGGCCGAGTGCTCAATTTAGGCCGAAAATATTTTTTGGTCCAAGCTCGGGTTGGTTCTTTTAACTAAGGTGTGCTAGTGCCTTAATTTTTAAATGTTTAAGTGTCTACGTAGATGGCGGTTAAAAATCCTGATTTCACCGTGATTGCGGGGAGACAATGATTATGAAGAGGTTCTTGATTTCACTATGATGGCAAACGTCTCAACTATCTTTGACTGCAGGAGATACTCATGATTTTTTCAGGGTGTCTAGTAGTAAGGAAAAACGGGAAAGTCGGGAATTAGTATTGAATTTCTAATGGTCATGAAAAGTCAGAAATTTTTATGATTTTGCCGCAAACGCACAAGACGACAATCACGTTTCCAAGACCGCGGGAGACGATGATGATGTCTACATGGCTGCGGAAGATGTTCATGGTTTAATTCAATTCAAACATGTTTATTTGCTCATGTACATCAAATACTATAAATAGTGTCACAGCAGTTCAAACTTAAATCCAACCTAATACATTTAAGATAATTTTTATATAGATTTCACATTACTTAATTTAAATAGCTCTTCAAAAGAATAAATACCCCGCCGCAGCAAACCTGCAGACTAAGCGAATTTCAACTCGTCTGATTACATTTTTACTAAAATATTTCCATAAATAAGACATATTTATTCCCAATTTAAATAACATTAGATTTAACCAGTGCTTAGGTTTGCTGCTACGGGGAAGGTAAAAAGTGTTTTTTGACCATATGTCAAAAGTATAGAATGAAATAAATAAATTTGCCAAATTTTATCAACATATATCCATAAACAAGCAACAGTTTTCATTTTCTCCATAAGCATAACATGGGAATTTTAAATTACACTTTTTTTGAATTTTCTCCGTGACCGTTAGGCATAAAACAGCACTTCAATATACTAAATTATTTCTTTTTTTAAGCTCTACAAAATGGTTGAGAAAGAAATTGCAAAAATTCTTATTTTAGAACCCATTTTTACCCCATAAAACCCCCCATAAACCCCTGTTCCCATGGTCCGATTATGCTGGTTAGCGAACTCGTTCGAATAAACGTAGGTTTCCACGTTTGTACAAAATTTCATCAAAATCGGATTATATTTGCTCGAGTTATCGCACTAACGGACACATATATAAATATATATATATATGAATTTGAACGGATAGTGTTTTGGCCTCAGGGGACCTCAAAACAAAAAAGTAAATCGGTCCCGGGTCTAGGTCTTACCATGAGACCTACGGTAATAGCTTATTCCCTATATGGGAAAGTCGCTAAAAGGTTTTTTTATCAAAAACTGTTTAAGTGCTTTTCTACATTTATTACAATTTTCTATTATAAATATTTCTTTAGGGATGTGTTTTTAAAATACAGATGATTTTAACACAATCGCGCTAGACGGTGATAACGTTTTTGTGACTGCGGGAGAAATTCATGATTTTGCGGCAATCTCGCTAGACGACGATGATGGTCCCTACACGGCCACGGAAGATGTTCATGTTTTTTCCACGACAGCGCTGAACGACGATTACATTTTCATGACCACGGGAGACGACAATGATGTCCATACGGCCGCAGGAGATAAACGGAATTTTCCCGCGATTGCGGAATACGATGATCATCACACTGCTGAAAAACACTGCTGAAAAATCTTAATGAATTTGCCGCGATCACGCAAATCGACAATGATGTTTCCGTGACCGTGGAAATCGATGATGATGTCTACATGGCCGCCGGAGATAATCAGAATGTTGTCGGGATCATGGAAGATAACGATAATGTCCACACGATAGCGGAAGATGTTCATGGTTTTGACATGATTGTGCTGGACGACGATCACGTTTTTGTGACCGCGGGAGTTGTTGACGATGTCTATATGGCTGTGGGAGATAAACAGAATTTTTGTCATGATCACGGAATACGATGATAATGTCTACACGGCCAAGAAATGTTAGTGGATTTGGCACGATCGTGCAAGATGAAGATGACGTTTCCGTGACTGCGGAAATCAATGATGATGCCGCAGGAAATCTAAATTGCCGCAGGAAATAATCAGAATGTTGAAGCAATCGCAAAATATGACAATAATTTTAGAATTTTAGAAAATTTTGCACTTAACAGTTTGAAGAGCGAATTTGAGATTGGTCCGCCCGGTAGAAGCTGCTTAGCGATTCCTGTCAACACCACAAATACAACCACAAATCTTTTAAAACAGAAGAACTAACTTATTTCTGCGTAAAAATGGTGTGTAGACAAATTTTTCTCCAGATCTGCATCATGCCAGATAGATGTGTTGTGCCTGGGTGTAAAAAAAAGTGCCTGGGATTACGAAAGCTTGATTAAAACTGAAGGATACATACAGTGTTTAAGATTCCAAGAGATCTGGTGCGTAAGCAACAGTGAATTCGTGCTATTCCACGGTCAGATTGGACACCTTCAAACAATTGTCGTGTCTGCATGAATCATTTAATGAAATAATGAAATAACAATGAAATAATGAATTTATTTTCTCTTTTTGACAAATAATTCACAATACAATCAGTTACAAAATCAAGACAAACATTGATTAGCTTATATATACTAGGTTTTATAAAGATAATTAATTTATACAAAAAACAATTAAAAGCAAATTACTGATTTTATGCTGTAGTATATAGAAAAGAAGTATAGAAAAGAGAAAATATAGGGCCTCCATGGCTATGCCTGTTTGGAGGTTCCATTTTTATTTTCAAAATAACAAAAAAAATTCAGCGTTTGACAATAATGAATAGTAAAGAAAAACCAGTCTCACTTAAAAATAATATACAGTAGTTTAAAAATAAACAAAACACCTGTTCAGTTTTCACAATCAGTAAAATCTTAAACCTACTCTACTATATTTAAATTACTTAACAAAATCAAATGGTAGCCTAGCTTACTATTTTTTTAATGTTTGAAATTACTTGAAAAATATGAAACTGATATTGTATTAACTGTACATATAAATAAAAAAGAAATTGTATAATACACAAAACATCTAAATTATGCATGAATATTTAATATTAAGTCAACTTCATCAAGTTCAAACAACCATTTCTTAAGGTTTTTTAGAAAATGCTTTTTGTTCCTTGAGGTTTTAATGTTATCTGCCAGTTTATTAAATAACCAAGGTCTCATAAACATAAAAGTCTTAGTAAAAAATGTCTTATTGGGCTTTGGAACTTGGAAGTAATCTGCGTTCCTTAGCATTCTCCTGTATGAATTTTCTTCTTGTAGAGCTAGTATGTTACTCCTTTCATCATAAAAAAATTTTAAAACTTTAAACATAAACAAAGATTTTATTGAAAAATTTTTTAGGCTATTAAACAACGGGCGTGAAGGTTCAGTAATTTGTTTACATTTGATCAACCTTATGAGGTGTTTTTGTTGTAGATAAATTCCATGTAAATTTATTTTATATGCGCTTCCCCAGAGAAAAATTCCATAATCAAGCGGGCTGTGCACAAGTGAGAAATATAACATACGCATAATCCTTTCAGGACACATGTCCCTCAGAAAATAGAAAAGTCTAATAACATTGTTAATTTTATTTTTTGTACTATTTATATGTGTTTTCCAGCTTCAATCCTGATCTAAAATTATACCGAGGCATTTTAAATGATCACAGCACATTCTTTAGTTGGGCAGATATGCCTACTTAAATTAGATAGGCAATCAGCACAATTATATGTCATTGGCTCCAAAAATGTTGCATTTTTCCTGAGGCTTAAGTTAATATATTTGGTTTTATCTGTATTTAGCTTCATATGATTCATTGTGAACCACCACTGTATTGCTTCAAGATCCTTTTTCATGTCATTTTGCACATCAACAGATGTGTCTCCTATGTAACTAAAAGCTGTGTCATCAGCAAAAGATGTTAAATTACCGTTGAAGTTACCTTTACATAAATCATTTATGTATATTATGAATACAATTGGTCCTAAAATAGAGCCTTGAGGTACTCCATGTAGAATTTTCCCAACATCGCTATATTCAGATCCAATTTTAACACACTGATATCTTTCTAACAAATAACTTTCAAACCATTTATGTGCTACACCTCTAATACCACACCTAAACAATTTATTAAGTAAAATTTTGTGATCCACAGTGTCAAATGCTTTTCTAATATCCAAAAATAATCCGCTTGTAAATTTATTTGCGTTTAGTCCGTTATAGATATCATTCATAAAATGTATTAAAGCACTTTCAGTATTCAATCCTTCTCTAAAGCCAAACTGATTGCTATTAAGAAAACCAGTGTAATTTAGAAAATTTAAAAGTTTCCTCTTCAATACTTTCTCATAAATTTTTGAGAAGCAAGAAAGTAAGGAGATGGGACGATAACTGTTGCAAGAGTTATTTAGTCCACCTTTAAAAATAGGTACTACAGCAGCAGTTTTCAATTTTGAAGGAAAAACACCATTCTGAAAGCTTAAGTCGATCAAATATACAAGAACATTTATTATTTTGGGTGCCACTGTTTTTAAAACACTAGAGCTAATTTGATCATAACCTGGAGCATTATTGCTTTTTAGTGATTTTATAGCATTGATAATCTCTTCTGCAGCTACTGAATCTAAGAATATGGATTGAAGTTGGCTATGTTTTGAAAAGTAATTCTTGTAATTTAGTGAAGAAAAATTAAGTGGCATATCAATATTTAGCTGCAGATTCTTTACGATACCTAGAAAATAACAGTTATATTCTTAATAACAGTGTTGTTTCTTAATAGTTACTATTAAATTCATTAGCAACTAATTTACCGTCATATTCCACATTACCA